TTTCTCTCTTTGGCTATAATGTCGGCCATTTCTGTCTTGTCAATTTTATAAAGCTCATCAGCTGAGAGAGTACAACCGCAACTAAACAAATTAAAAATCCCAAAAGTGATTCTAGTGTACAATACATCTATAGCAATGATCATCATTAAATCAATAATTGACCCAATTAAATGGTACATTTGTAAGTCTAACACTACCAATACACAAAATTTTAATATCATAAGCTAACTTGTCTTTCTACCTTACCATGCTTTAATGATTGTTGGTGGCATTGTTAGAAATGTAGCTGCTAGTATAGTGGTATACTCATTATCTGATTCAAACATCTCTTGTTTCATGTGAGCCCTGTTTTCACTGAAAAACTCATCTACAACCATGTAGAACATTAAAAAATAAATTTAAAAAAATAGCAATGAGTTGATTGAAAGCATAATAATGTCACTTGCAGTTAAAATATCAACAAAATTGTGTCAGTGATGGATGCAATGTAACTGCATGTTATCAGTAAACAGTCTAGCAAAATTAATACATGTGAACACATGATACAGTTTATCAGAAAATTTTTACCGTAACTATATTTGAGATTGTACTGGATTAGAATTTCGCAAAAATTGGATCCCGCATGTAATCACATGCCACATTCCATAATACATGACACAGTCTTAATGACGTAAAAGTAAATCACAGCACAATTTTTAGAATCAAAAATTTTCTACCGTATTAATTTTCAGATTAAGGATCTCACTTAAACATGTACATGTATATAGATTGTACATGTATGTATAATAAAATATAATTAAATGAGCATCTTTTATGTGTAATGTACAAGCATATCAATTGTTCTGCTAGGAAGAGATGTAGAACTAATGAGTAAATTGATTATGCATTCTTAAATGCATGTACATATACATGTACATGTAGTCATGTACATGTACAGTATGCACAGGGTTTCCCACAGGATTTCGGAATAGTGCTCATGCAGCTTCTTGACATACATGTACATGTACATGTATACAAGAAACCCGTGAACTTTGACACACATTCACTCTCTCCTTACACATTTCTGATCCAGTCATTTCTGCAAACCATGCCACTTCCATTGCCATACTACCATGACTGCTACAATGCACTGATTGGGTCTATAAGAAACAATTATTTAAAACAAAGTACATATAACCGAAGTAGATTTTCTGACCTTCACAAATCTAACTCCAGCATTGTACATGAAAATTAGATGCATTGCCTCCTCCTCCTATAAAGTAAAAATAATCATAAAAAATTTTCATGGCATTCTAAGAATTTGATACATGTACTTGTGAATAATAAATTTTTAAAAATCATAACCAGTGGTGACCAGCCAGTGGTTTTAGTGATTGGGATATACATTTCCCATGTACATGTACGATTAAAAAATTGTGGTCCTTTGCTCACAATAATTAGTAATAACTTAATGAGTTTACCGTACCATACAACAGCCACAAATTACAATTCAAATTCAATTTTGTGTACTAACTAGTGAAATGCAATGCATAGCTAGTAGCATATAGTGTTCAGAGACCTACACAATGCTACATGCATGCATATGTACATGTAGGTACTATGCATGTACTACATACCAAGGCAGGAGTTGCTAATTTCTTACTTTAGCACTTAGTTTCAGTCTCTCACATAGCTGCAAGTAGCGTGGTTTGGTTTCACCATTGTAGCATTCACTCATTATTTTCTTGAATACTTGAACAAGTCCACGAAGTGTTCTTAATATCTCTGATTGAAATGCCTCAACAAAACCTAAGGAAGAAAAGGATTTGAGAGAGAGGGACAAAAAGAATAAAACTAAATACAATGTACAAATCAACAGATTAGAAAATTGCAACTATGAGATTAAACAAGCTCAATAATAAATTATTACACTTGTGATTTGTGAACACAAATATCGATTTAACCTTTGCAGCTGTTAGTAGGTAATAGCTTTTCAATGGTGTCTCTCCATTTTGTCTCCAACAACCCCAGTCGCATTTTTAAAAGACAATAAAACTCAAGAGCCTCAAGGAATAAAGCTTCTGGTGACTGCTGGACTGTACTCACAACCTGAGGTTCATTATCATCATCATCATCATCAGTGTCTGAATCTGAGTCGGAGTCTGGAGAAGATTTTTGTCGCTTCAGCAGAAAATAATCAAGAGGTTCAATGATGTCATCAAGGATGCATAGTAAAGGAGCTCTTTCCACATACCGAAACACCTAAATGAAATGGTTATATGTAATGCAGGACAACCTATCACAAAGCCTGAAATTTCATTCAAACAGTGTTCAGATATTGTTTCTGATCATTGCTTAATTTAATTTGCCATTTTTATGAAACAGTCAGACAGGTTTTCCAACAGGTTTGAGGCATAGTGCTCATGCAGCTTCTTGTCAGTGGATTTTTAAATTGCTTCAAAAATTGAGAAAAAAAAACAGGGTATTTCAGCAGAAATCACAAGACAAGAATTCTCTATTTCTATAATTTTTCAGATACACATACATGTTTTTACATTGTGTATCAACTTTGATCTGATTCTGATCAAGCTTGTATTTTTAATGAATTTTAAAAGTTGATCAAAAATCAAGTCTTTGTTAAATTCTGTCAAAATGGCTAGAAGAAAATCCTCAATTTTAATTTTTTTTTTCTGATACAAATACATGTCCTTATGCTGTGTATCAACTTTGAGCTGATTTCCATTAAATTTGGATTTTTAAATAATTTTTAAAGTTGCTAAAATACCATGTACTGTATTCTGGTCATGAGGCATACTGTTTAGCTCACTTAGCAAACTTAATGGGAACATGATTAATTGCTAATTATGTAAAATTGCTTTTTAAAATTAAATAAAAAGTTACTCAGACAAAAATTGAAGAAAAAACACAGGATTTGGTCGGACAATTGAGCAAAATGGTCGGAAAATGTCCAATATCAGACTGTCTTTCTGGCTTTGCATCAGTCTCATAAAATCCAGTAATTTAAAACTTGAAGCAGCGACACATGAATAAAAATTTCATGCATGAACATGCTGCTAATTTTGAAATTTACTTGCGATTTAAAAAAATAAAACTCGCAAAAAATCTAAATAATACGGTAAAAAGCTTTGATTTGCAAAAATTTACATGCATATACATGTCCACAAAAATAATTTTTGAGCCTCCAAAGTTTTCAGCCATGCAGTAGTATAGACCCTCTAGGAGCTAAGATTATTTTCAAAGAATAATTATGATTACAATAATGATATTCATTCATAATAAATAAAATTTTTCTATACGGTATCCACCCACGATGTAAATTATTGATGGCAAGAAGGTCTCAAGATTTAAAAAATCAAAAATGGTGACACCGCTTGGCCATTTTTGTGAGCGCTACAACGTACTACAGGCTTACAAGCAGCATTTATGGAAAGTATGGAGGCCAGACTACATCGTATAGACCAGGTAACTCTTGCTGCAACATATTTTTCTTGCCATGCTTCAATTCGGCACCTTGGGTTTTGATTTGCCTTTGATGTGGAGAGCTTGTTGCCGTCAGTAATTTTAATCGTGAGTGGCTACCGTAAATAATTCATTCAAAATAGTCTTAGCACCTAGGGGGTCTATTAGATATGGTCACAATAGTCTACCTTCTTTAAATTTGTACTGCGCAGCTTGGTTTTGTATTTCATCTGTCCCCAGTAATACACTCCAATGCCATCAAAAACTCCTTTATTGTACTCTTGATTCTGCTCTGGGTCCTGTCTGAAACCAAATACAGACAAATCATTCTCAGAAAACAAATATGGTGAAAATATAAAGCTTTCCTCGATCTCGATGCTCCTCTATAAAAATAAGACACATGACAAATAAAAAGTAATTTTTCACTCTTTTAAAATGAGTCTTACAATATTATAGGAGTTCCTCCACCTCTCCGACAGCCATTTTCTGAGTCTTTCAGTGCATGCCTCTATGAGGAGCTTCTTAGGAGGAGAGCTACCAGCCATATGCAGTTGCTGACTCGGTTGCTGACTCGGTTGCTGACTAGCCTGACTGTGGCTGCATCATTTGGAACTCTAGGTAGGTGTGGCTCCATCATGGGCGTGGTGGTGGGCAATGGTTTCACTTGACTCTTGCTATAAAAGTCACATTTACTGCTGAGGTCTCTGACCCATTGCTGGGTTTCCAAGCATGGCAGAGGAGTTAGAGGGACATGCTTTTGACTCTTTTCCTATTAGTGAACGAGTTGAATCTCTTGAGCAGTCTGCAGACTTAGACGAATCCACGGAAGACTGCAGCATAGACTGCACCGGTAACTCCGAGCAATCCGCAGGGGAGCAGTCGGTAGAGTTGGATTGCTGGAACAAAGAGTGTTGGAAGGCATTTGAAAACAATGATCTCACGGAAGCCATTCGTTTGCTGCCTTATTTTGTAACTGAACCTACCGCTGGAATAAAAAGTTATCATGGCTCAAATGGTATTACATTACTTCACCTCTCTTCAAAAAATGGCTGGTTAGATGTTACAAAAGATCTCGTTGCTGATTATCACTTTGATCCGCATGAAAAAGATAAAACAGGGCGAAGTAGTCTTCTTTATGCATTTGCAGATCATGCTATTGATGTATTAAAGTATTTGATTAATGTTTGTAATTGCAACCCGATGGCTACTAGTAATAATGGAAATAATATCCTTCATTACTCGGCTACTAATGGATCGCTTGTTGTTATAAAGTATATGATTGATCATTACCCAGACATGAACCTAATGGCTACGAATGAGCTAGGCGAGACTGTCCTTCATTGTGCTGTATGCCATGTAGATATTGTAAAATACCTGCTCATTGATTGCAACTGTGATCCCATGACTGCTGACACAGATGGTTGGACACCTCTTCATTTTGCTGCTGATTTGGGCCAATTCGCAACTGTAGAATATTTACTATCAACTGATAAATGTGATCCATTGGCTGAAGATAATGAAGGGAGAACTCCCATAAGCTTAGCCCTTTCCAAATCCATTGAGCACCCCAATATGGTCTCTGTCTTCAAAAAGTTTTACAAAATGAAGATATCTCACCCAATTGATTCTTATGTTAACATTCTTCTTCTTGGAAATTCGGGAACTGGTAAAAGTACTCTTGGCCATGTCATCACAAATACATCTACAGGCTCTGTTGTTCTTGGCTCTTTTAGGAATGTCAAAGAAGTAGAACCTTGCACTGCGGGCATCATTCCAACTGAACTACAGCATAAAACACTGGGTAACATCATTCTTCATGATTTTGCTGGTCACTCAGAATACTATTCAAGCCACAGTGCTATTATTGAGAACTTGTTAGGTTTTGGTGGCATATTTGTTGTCGTAATTAACATGCTTGAGAAGGAAGCAATCAAACAGCTTCGTTATTGGCAAACTATTGCAAAAAATGAAGTAGAAAAGGCTCGTGATCAGCCTCATGACATTATAGTAGTTGTCAGTCATGTGGATAAAATAAGTGGCCATACTGAAAGGAGGAGGGGAATAGAAAAGGCTGTTGGAAGCGAACCGTTATATTTCTTGGATTGTCGTAAGCTTGGAGGCACTAGTATGGGTTCATTTTTAAATAAATTGTCCAGTGCCTGTGAACATATTCGTACCACAAGGGAAATCCAGTTAAATTCATATCATCATGAAATGTACCACCTACTTGAAGATATGTCAGAGAACATCCTGACCCTGTCTAATTTACTTGCTGAAGTGACTGTTGGTTGCGCTCTACCAGAAGCGAAAGAAGAAATTGTGGATATTCTTAACTTGTTGCATTCAACTGGTTTGATCAATGTTATTAAAAGTGAAGATCAAATATGGATTGTCGTGGATAAAGGAATATTATTATCGGAGTTAAATGGAATTCTTTTTGCTCCAAAAATGTTTAAGGAACATATCACCATTGCTAGCAATACCGGTATTGTTAGTGTGTCTGGTCTTGCTAAACTCTTCCCTAAATACGATCCTGACATGTTAATCTGTTTTTTGAAGAACATGGAACTCTGTCAGGAAATAAACGTATCTTTTTTAAAAATGTCAAACCTCTTTCAATTAACTGTAAGAGACACAGAAAAAGATGCAAATCCACTGGAAGAAAGGTTGCTGTTCTTTCCATGTCTTTTGTATAGCGATAGACCTGATGAGATGATTAGTCACGTATTCAAGTTTGGTTGGTGTCTGCAGTGTAATAAAGAACATGATTTCTTCCCTCCTAGATGCTTTCACATTCTCTCTTTACATCTAGCTTATAAATTTGCTCTACCTCATGAAGATGACATCTTAAATCGATATTGTACATTTTGGAGAAATGGTCTACATTGGTTCAATGGTCATGGTGTCGGTGCACTAGTGGAGATTGTGGATGAGAGCCAGTCCATACTAGTAATGATGTCCTGTGAGGATGGTTACAGCGACGATATGGTTCTTCTAAGAAGAGATGTGATAAAAGAGATAATGAGTGTTTCGAAGGATTCTTGTCCATACATAGAAGTGAAGGAGTTTATCATTGATCCTAGTGACTTATCTTATCCTTTGGAGATACCAAAAGAAAGGAAAATATATAATGTATGTGCTGTACTGTCTGCAATTACAGAAGGCAGGAAATTTATAGTTACTAATGATCCTATGCATAGAGATTTAAAAATGGTCCTACCTGACGAATCATTGTCTGATATTTGTAACCTGTCACTTTTAGGAGGACGTGATATTAATGTAAGAAAATCTAATATTTTGATCAAAGTAATTATTTTGTTTTTGTTTAGCTTATCATAAAATGTAATCGTGTGACTTCTAAAGATAAACTTGGTAAGTTATTGTAAAAGCAATTGTTTGCAATATTACAGCGTATGTTTACAACTAATTATCTTTCAATTAACTTTGTTACAAGCACCCTTATCAGCTTGTTTTCTTAGTTGAGATTAGTGGTAGATATATGCCTTTTTAAATAACAGCATGAGCAAAACATTACTTAGCACCAAACTGCTAGAAGAATAATATTGAATTATGTTTTGCGTATAATGTGTTATTTAGACATTAGAGATCTTGATATTGTCATTGAAGAGTTGACATCAAGCCAACACTTACCTTGTCATGTATGGCATGATCTTGGGCTTCAGTTGGGTTTATATCAACCTACATTGGAAGATATTGAGAAATCGTTCAGAGGTGATTTAAGAACTTGTTTTCGTGAGTGTATGTCTGCCTGGTTAAAAGGAGCAGATAAAGTAATAGAAAAAGGAGGTCCAAGCTGGTTGTCATTAGCTTCGGCACTGAATAAAGAAGGAAAACGTCAAATAGCTAGTAGCATTAGAACTAAATACTGTTAATACCTCAATACTGTTAATGACTTACTGCTCTGCTTGGCCGTATGCTAAGCAGCTATAGTCCTTTCTTTAAAATGTCTTGCTACAACTTTAATTAATTTTTGTTTGTCATAATATAAAAAATGTCATATTTTTAAAGATTACTGTCTGTATCTGATTTTTCTTCATTGTACATGTTGCATTGTGACATAGTCAGCTACAGGCACTGTGCACTGAAAACAATAGTATTTATTAGTTTCAACTTGTTCACTTTTGAACAACACAGAATTGCTTTGATTCATAACTTTCAGTGCACAACAGTGTTTGGTACAACTATAGATTTATTCTAAAAACAAGTAGTTGTTTACACAAGTGAAACAGTTTATTTTTTTAGTTTCAACAAAGTGATTTAAACAACACAACAACATAGCAGTGATTTCATTTTGGTACATAATGCACACTCAAGCTAATTGAAAACAAGTGTATTTAGTTCAACTACTAAGTAGATTGAAAATTTAATACAAGTAAATACTTCTATCTAGTTATTATCCTCAAATTTGTGTCCCTTCCTACATCAAACCTACATTAAGCTCATTCACATTCACATTACCACCCAAACTGGCTGATACTTTGTCTGAATATTTTTACACTGCCATAGACTCATAGCCTGTAGGCTGTAGCTAGTAAAAAAGAAGAAAAATTAGAAGTCACTGACGTTAAAATATTGAGTTGCAAATTAGATTAATATCTGCCTGCACTGATGTTTATAGCTCAGAATAATGGCAATTTTAAGAAACAATAGAGTGAATAATTCCCTAATTATTTGGATGCTAAGAGGGATTGATCAACCAATGACATGGCTTTTGTTACTTATATTCAGTGTCCCTTCACAGTTCACACACAATATAAATATAATGACCGTTCCCCAGCCTACAGTCAATTACCCAAATGACTGTAGGCTTGGGAATGGTCTTACTGTACAAATTGAAATCATAGCAGATGTATCACTAACAACCATGCAATTAAATTTTTCTTTAAAGTTACTCCACTTAGGTGTAATTGTGAAACAGCAGGAATGCAAGCATGAACTTCTGATAATATTCTTTGTTGGCATACTGACAGCATATAACTAAAAACTTAACAAATCATCTTTACAGTGTGAAAAATAGAAATCATAATATTAATCACTACAGCTGGTTACATTACTGACACACATTTCATCATAGTTGAAACCAAATTGTTTGGCAACAGAACGAAACTCAATCTCAACATATACTGGGATCACACCAACATCTTTTCCTGAATCAGCTCTAGTAACAACACTTCCTCCAGCATACGGTCCAGTGGGAGTAGCTCCACAATAAATGTACAGCATCCAATCAGGATGTGGCCATGATAAGACACGCCATTCTTCAATTTGTGGTGTTAGAGGAGGATCAGTATATACGTGATTCATTACTCCAGGTTTTGTAATTGATACATTAGCAACTGTATACAATATTGGAGTAGAACATGTATTGTTACGTCCTCCACAGTAAGCAATGTGATCAACCCACACATCATTATGTGTTCCCAGTGGAACAAACTCATCACGTTGACAAGGAAAGTAATCAAAGGCTGCTGGCCAACCTCTCTGACCACAGTTGAGCCCACGAAGAATCCACCATTTACCTTTAATCTGAGATAGAGAGGTGAGGTTTTTAATAGTAGAACTGTCATTAGCAACACAAATTCCATCTGGTGGTGAGACAGGGAGACAGCCATGATCACTCATACATTGGAGAAGATGACGATATTTTGAACTATTGTAGCCATATGTTAGTTCACATAGTAGATTACAAGCTTCTTCATTAGTCTTGCCCTGACATTCTGAATTGCAATGCACGGCTTCACGACAAGAAGAATCTAGCAGACAAGTTGTTGTAGGTAGAGAGCAGTTTACTAAGAGACATGAAAAACCTGGTGCAACCAGTCCACCTAATAATAAATAAGGATTAATTATTTCTTGTTCTGTAGCTAGCAGTATATTCAAGAACTTTCCCTTCATCAGCCATATACATTTCTACCTTTGAGAAAAGCAATTATAAAATCCTAAATTTCTAGTCATGCTTTGTGAAATACATACAGTTCATAGTCTTAATTTGCTTAAATTTCCAAATTTGTTCGGGATCAACTGAAATAAAGTGTATGCATTTTTTGTATGTAGCAAAAATAGACTCAAAATACCACACAGGTCTTAATTTGGTCAAAAAATTAAAACTTCTCAGGCCAAGGCCAGTATACATGTAATTCATTTACATAGCACAGGTCAAATGCCTTCTTTTTTTAGAGCAAGAGTTACATGCAGGCAACAAAACTATTTAAATGATTTTGATATACTGATCATACCTTTGTCTTTTAATAGAGCTACGTTTCCACTTTTGTTAAATTGTGCAGAATAAGATATACAGGAAACCACAAGGAGCAGGTTCAATGAGAAAACAGTGGCAAAAGTCATTGAGGCCTAGTAGAGCAAAAATAAAACTATATCAAATCAAATGCAATATACTGTATACTGAGCTAAAATTGTGGAGGTGAGTTTATTTGGCAAGATGCCATATTTGCATCAATCCGGCTCCAATTTGATAGGGCTCAAGCTGTTGCCATGTTGCAACCTTCATCCTCTTTTAGAATCAATCCCATCAAACTTTAACACTCCAAATATTCTAGTTATACACAGTGCCATTTCACAACATGATTCATAGTTTCTCATTTCCTAACCACTATATCTTGTAATAGCGCAATAATTTGCATTTTTTAATTAATTTATACAGGCAATAAATAATGAATAGACACCTCGTATGAGGTGTTTATCACATCTGAAAAAATGAGGGCAAAGCCTGAAGTTTACAAGGTATTTATCTGTTTTAAACATATTCATGAAAACATAGTTATGACAACTGACAAGTGGTTAATTAGTGTTATTTTGCATTGAAACCTCATTTATAATCATTAAGAATTATTCAGAAGTAGTTTAATAAATATTAATTTACTACGCTAGCTCATAAACCCCAACATGCATTGTCCACCCTAAATGTAGGATAAAGGGTGTAGACTGAGACAGCATTTAAAGCCATGCAATACATGCATGCCATGGAGGCAGAATTTAGACATAAAACAACTTAATTTTAGTTCACAAAATGACAAAACAGTACTTACTGGCTTAGTCTGGCTAATCTGACAAATGGTATTAGCTGTCCCAAATCCCAATAGTTAGATTGCTGCTGAGTTCAAGTTCCAGATTCAAGAGTTACAAGGAGTTATGCAATGCATGGGCAACATGACCTTTTTAGCAGGAGGGGCGTGACAACGGCAGTTGCTGAGTGAGCAAAATTTGCAATCATTCAATCAGTGCATACATTTTAAAAATAGAAAACAGAATTCAGGCTTAACAAAGGTACTGAAATGAAATATGTAAGCTCAGTGCTCACTTTTATTCTATTTTAATGCATTGTACACATCTTACATCTAGTGACTACTCAACAGTGACTCTTGCAAAGATGTTGCATAAAAATGTGTCCATCATGTGCAGGGTTTGTCCAGTGGTCCAGTGTATATACTCACATTGTAAGTTAAAAAATGAATAGGAGTACAATGTATGCTGACTATGCTTAGGTGTGGGTTTGGATTTACAGCACTCTTCATGATTGGGCTGACCTATAGTGCATTGCTTTGAAAGTAACTTTTAAAATTCATTAAAAAATAAAAATTTGACTTGCTAGACATACAACATCAGAACATGAATGCATTAGACAAAATTATATAAAATAAAGAATTCTTTTTTAGCTGTTTTTGATCAAATTTGGCACGAGATCGTGTACTATAGCCCATGTCTTGGGCCACATTTCAAACAAGTTTAAAAATTTATAAAAATTTTAATTTTGATAAGAATCAGCTTAAACTTGATTTATACACAACATCAAAACATGCATAGTACATAATAGAAAAATTAGAAAAATTCTCCTTGCCATTTTTGACAAAAATTAATACATGAATCGGGGTTTTCTATAAAACTCTAGTGCCGAGGCTGTTTAGCATGCCCACAGTGGGTATGCTAAACAGCCTCATGAGCTTAGCTGAGCACTATACCAAAATTTTGGGGAAAACCCTTTCTCTCCTCTGGGCTCAGAAACTATGTATTGCTGAGATCATAATAATCTTAGTCATTCCTCAATACAATTACAAATACATATCTTGTACCTTATTGAAGCACTTTTGTCATACATGTCAATCCAATAGTATAAAAGAAATTACTACAATGTAGAACAGCTAAATGTGCCACTCAATTATTTTGACCAGTAATGTACAGCAATTAACAGTTAGGGAGTTACACGTACATGCAATAATTTACATAACTAGATTCATAAGGAAAATACATAAAGTAAAATAATGATACATGAATCAATTAAAATTCAAAATAATGCACACACATTATATTATTTTCAATGAAACAAATAAGCCCCCCCTACGGCTCCCTTATTTTTAATTGATTCAAAGTACTATTAAAAACTTTGGAAATATATGGAATTATTAAGATAATGTACATTCATAGTATAATTGAGATACATTATAACTAAAGTATCATTAACTTATTATTATTTACAGTATTGTCTCTGGTATCACTGGTATTACAAACCCAGCCTGTGTCCTATGACTCCTTCCTCTCAATACTAGAACATAATGAACATTAATATCACTATCAGTGACTGATTCATAGCTGAGTCACTCCACCTAATAAGCCAGCAATAGTATACTTCCTTTTCCTAGTTGTACCTGTTGTAAGTTTATCGGTTGAGGGAGACATATTTGTGCTTTTCTTAGACTGATCTTGATTTTGGTACAGATGCAGTGGCTCTGGATGCTGGCCAAGTTCACTGCTTGCCTGTCATTTTGTGACTGTTACTGACAAATGTTGATCTGTTATTCCTAGTATCTCTGAAGTGTGAGGTCTGTGAGGTCCCTTTTTTTCACTGTCTATCCTTAATTCCACTTCATCAACAGTAATTGGACGCACGTTAATGTCTCTGACGGCACAGAACTAACAGCAATTGTTCGAGTACTCATTTTCATAATGGGAAAAGTCCAAATAAAACACCAAAAATTCACAAATAAACTGAGCAAACTCCACCAGGCAAAAAGCATAGAAACAAATATATAGTCTTGCAGTGTATCTATTAAGTTCATAATTTTCAGAAAAGATGGATTCAATTCTTGACAGAGTTCCATGTTCTTCAGGAAACAGATCAACATATCAGGATCATATTCAGGGAAGAGTCTAGTCAGACCTGACACACTAACAATACCAGTATTGCTAGCAGTGCCAACATGTTCTTTGAATGTCTTTGGAGCAAAGAGAATCCCATCCAACTCAGTTAGCAGTATACTCTTATTCACAACAGCCCATGGTACCTTGTTTTCACTTTTGAACACTGATCAAACCACTTGAGTGCAACGAATGAAGAGCATCCAAGATGTCTTCTTTCTTATCTGGTATAACATAATCATTATTGTCCTCACCAGCAGCCATTACATCTGAGAGGGTCAGTGTCAGGGTTCTGTAAAAAATGTCATTAAATAGATGTTTTCCTCAGTATGTAGGGAGAATTTAGTGCTTTCTGTCATTAAATGACTCTTATACATTTGTGGCATTCATCACTATATCTGTCATTGTTGATACTCTATATATATACTGTAAGAATATTCCTTGAAATATTCACAGACAAGGAATGGAACACCTGTCACCAGGACAACAACTTCAACAAGCCCTATTTTACTACTACTACTCTAGATTTATATAATCCAATTTATAATGGAAATACATAAAGTAAAACTATAAGTATAATGCATGGATTAGTTAATTACAAATTCAAAATAACTCACATACATTACTATTAAAGTATCATTATTATTATTTATAGTATAGTCTCTGGTATGACTGTGGGTATTACAAACCCAACCTGCAGTGTCCTATGACCTCCTTCTCCTTCTTCACTCTCCCTCCTCTCACTCCTGGAACATAAAGCAACATTAATATCACTATCAGTGACTGGCTCATCCACTGATGATCCATTAGTTATATACTGTAACTCATTCACTTTAACCAACAAACCAGCAACAGTATACTCCTCTTCCTAGCTGAACCTGTTGTCAGTATATCAGTTGATGGAGTCACACTAGGAACACTTGATAACTGATCTTGACTTGGTACAGACAGCCATCGAGTGGCTCTGGATATTTAAAAATGTTGACCAAGTTCACCACTTGACTGTTGTCTAACGGCCATTACCAATGGATGCTAGTCTGTTATTACAAGTATTTCTGAGGCATGATGTTTAAGTGTTCTTAGAGGTCCCTTCTCTTCAGTATATCTACTCCTTCAACTTCATTAGCAGTGATTGGTTGCATACTAATGTTCTGACAGCACTGAACTGACCACAATTGTTTAAGTGTTCATTTTCAAGACAAATAAAGTTCTAAATAGAATGACTAAAAATGATAATAAATAGCAAATAAATTTTACATTTTAAAGTACTTCTCAAAAACTTGTGTCTTACCAAAATATAGCTACCTCCAGAACAGAACAGTCTTAAATATGTTATAATTAAGAACACCTAGTCCACCCTCCCCCACTGATATAGTGAGTGTCCATACCCACCTTAACAACAGGTACCCTATCATCACTAAAATGTACGACACCTATAATCAAAATGGTAACACTAGCCACGCCCAATAACCAAACGCCATACCTTATAAGGATATATTCTCTCTCTTCTAGTGAAGTAGCCACCTTCAAATAGAACCCAGTCTATTTTGATGTCCCAAGCATAAGTGTAGCATCTAATGAGTGCAGAGATAATCAACAGGCTAGAAAGAAGTAATGGAAACCAGATTGGATAGGAGCATCCTTAATGAGATACATGTAAATGCACATTGTACATGCACACAGTTATGTACAAATTGACATAGTTTGCAAGCAAAACTTTCATTATTTATGTTCACAGAGCCACAAAAACAATGAAATTAATGCTCCAAAAAGGAAGTAGTAGAACTAAAAAATATTGCCCCACTCTCTCTCTCTTTATGTAACCTTTCAGAGCAGCTACTACTAAGAAGTTGATTGTATTCCAGCATTAGATGAGGGAAAGCCTCCCTAGTGCTACCATAATGTCTATGCAGGAAGCATAGCAACAAATGATCTCACAGTTTAGTATAATTATGATACCACACTTAACTAATGATTCTATATGGAGGAATACATACATGTAAACAAGAAAAATTGAATACTACTATACATGTGTACATGCATTGTTATAAGGTAAAATCTTGCGTGGAATCAATTTTGACTGCATGGATAAATTGATAGCTAGTTAGTCATGATATTTGTTACATGCAAGTACTGTATCCTAATGTATTATCATAATAATATATATTAACTGTATGGTTTACCGGTGGTAGCTAGCATTCTGGCCATACACAGGATAACAGATAAAGTATCGCATGTCTAGTAACACAATAGCAAGAGAATTGAGTATCCAGAAATCAGGAAATGAGACATCATAATACAGGAATAGAATCCTTACCTAAAGGAAACAGAGTGGATGAATGTTGGGTAAGAAATTTCCCAAAATTGAATTTTTATAAATTTTTAAAGTTGCAGTCAAAGATCAAATTTCACCAAAAATCAATAGATGAGAATTCTTAATTTTCTACTTTTTCCTGATTCATTGTACATGTTCTAATGCTGTGTAGAAAGTTTGAGCTGATTCCAATTAAAATTGGATTTTTTACAAATTTGCACACCTACTGACCACATCCACTTACAACTTCCTTAAAAAGCCACCAGTGTGACCTTCAGTATAACAATGGTACCGGTAATCAGAAGAGGATTAGCCAGACTACCTGCATAGAGACAGGACCAACGTAATAAGGTATATGTATGTGTACATGTAGCCAGATTGGCAAATAAAAATAATAATAATCTGGAACTCCAAAAATGCCCATAAACGATGCCACCTTCAAAAAATATTGAGTTTCAATATACTAGTTCAGCTAGTAAATTTGTAAAGGAATTTTAAAACACTAGAATAAATATTATTAATAAATATTATTAAGGGATAAATGAATGAAGTTCAAAACTTGCTAAATTTGGATTAATTTGATCTGTGTGCATGTTTTCCTTACTGCGAACTATTTTTAAATGTTGAGATGATTTCTTGGATCAAACTCAAAAATTATGATGTTATTGATGCCAAAGTACCTCCAGAAGAAAGTATTAGCTGCAAAAGAAAAGAGCGAAACTGAAAGAATGAAACCCGACCAAAGACCCAGCAACTGGTACCAGTGTCAGGGGACCATGGTAAGGGACTATGGATCTGATATACACCTGTGTATATGCAATAATAATAATAAAATAATACTTGTACATGCATTTTTTACTCTTACATGCTATAATAGCCACTATTGTCATTATAAAAATTGCTCCCATCAGCCACCCATTGGCCAGTATAGCCCACGGTGAAGAGACTCCACCCAGTGGGGGGGGGACACGAAGCTTAGCTATGGCCCAACCATGGTTACTGTTCTCCAGTTAATTTATCATAATTTCCTGTAAAGAGAGGGAGAGATGGGAAAATGGATAAAAATCTAAAATATCAGAAAATTAAAACAATTGTTGTTTTATTACTTTAATTCTTTGAATAAGAGTGTTGATCTCTTTTAGTTCATGAAAATACAATATCTCGACATTTTCTTTATAAAACTTGTTGCCACAATCCGAACTTGCAAGCTACATGTACATGCATGCATAAATAAATAAATAGCACATGTACATTACATTTACGTATATAGTGTACATGTAGTTTAATATGCGTAAATACTGACTTTGTCAGGTTTCTTGAGTATCATTCTAAAGCCAGTGATTTAGTTTCTAAAAAAAGAGATTTAAACAATAAATCATGAATATTTAAAATGGCCATAACTTAAAAAAAGTTGAAGTCGGAATCAATTCAAGCTTGCTACATAGCATAAGGACATCAATATGTGCCACAAAATTTTATCAAAAAATTTGGAGTGATTTTGGGAAAAACCATGAGCTATAGCCTTGGGTATGTGCTAATAAAAATATTTACTAATACATTCATAGTACAAGATTGAAGCTTTTGATGCATACATGTATCAATATTTTGAGCTGGTTCCAACAATTACTTTTTGAGTTATAAGCATTTTAAAAACTAGCAAAATGGTCTGAGGCCAAATTTCTTCAAAAATGAATATGACATTTTTACGATACATATAGGTACATGTACATGTATAGATGTTCCTTATCTGCATATCAACATTGAGTTGATTCAGATCAAATTTGGATTTTTAATGAATTTTTAAGTTGCTAACAAATTGGACCAATGAACAAAGGCCTTCCAAATTTCTTCAAAATGGTTAGAAGAGAAAATTCACTATGTTTAAATACATGTTCTTGAGCTGCAAATTAACTTAAAGCTGATCTCCCTCAAATTTGAATTTTCTATAAATTTTTGAAGTTACTCAGAATGCCATGTACAAGTACATGTACTGTATTGTAGTGCTTGTCAACTCATGAAGTATGCTGTTTAGCTCACTTACAAGTAGCATGCTTTGTGGGAAACCTAGATGCACTGTAAAGTTTCTTTTGTACTGTAAATATGTAAAAAAAATATTCATGACTAAATTTTAAGTAACATAAACCAATTAAATGATACTTAAAATTATCATTAAGCAATGATGTTAGATATGCTTAAGCAATACCAAAGAGCTTGTACATATGATTTAAGCCAAAAATTATATGCAAATCCTTGTACTTATGCTTGAATTAAAAAGTGCTAGACCTCAACCCTGAATTTTTTTATAATTTTGTATTCACAATTGTAATGATGATATAGCATCCTTTAAACATTGTTCATGCATGTACATGTAGATGCACATCTACTATAAATGTATGACTAATTGCAAGCCATGCTTTGTGTATACTCACTAGTGTGTGTGCATGTATGTGTACTGTAAACACACACATACACACATACGCACATACGCACATACGCACACACACACACACACGAAAATTAATTAATGATTTAAATACCCACCTACATGTACATGAATATTTAAGTACCAATTTAAAAAGCATGGCAGCATCTAGTTGTGTGATGGCAGTAAAGAAAGACAGCATTCCCTGTAAGTCATGTGTTTTAAAAGAATTTACAATCAAAAATTAACTGTATAAACAAAGTACGTGTAGCATACAGTGTCCTTTATATGTAACATAAACTATAACTGTGTTCATAGCAATAGTTAACATAGAGTTCAGTTACACAAACACCTTATCAGTTAAACCAATAGCTGAGTGAGGCTCAGACAGTGCGGAGAGAGTTGGGGCTCCATAAAAGATCTTTAACCCGCCATTTCTGGTTCTCAAGGCCAGACTGTCTGTCCCTTGCCCAGTAAGCATATTTTCAAATAGAAGGGAAACCCCATACTCTGTTAATTTCGACTCTTAAGTCAATGGATGCGTTGAGCTTTGAAGATGCCAGTACTTTCAATCGAGATGCAAGCCCAGCGCTAGGCTATGGTTATGGTAGCTGGGTCCTGAGACATAGCCCGGGGGTTAGGTCGAAACACAAACACACACACACACACACTGTCAAGGAAATAGATAATGATATTCATGAGCCACTGTAGTGTAGAATAATCTAGAACCTTTCTTACACAAATGCATTAGTGTATCTTCAATGTTTCCTAGCACTGAATATTCTAGAAGACTCTATCCTACACTAATCTACATGTATACATGAGAGCATAATGTCACTGGTAGATTAACCTAGAAACTTTACAAATAGTCTAGAAATAAAACTCACTGACTATAAAACAGAGAGAGCAAAGTGAACCAAACTTAGAACAAAACAAGTGAAAATAATCACAAGAGGAACTTAAGGAAACTTCATTACCAAAAGAAATAAAGAAGATGCCTAGTCTAAAGATTCACTTTAATGGAGAGACAAGAAGGACACAAGTCCAGGAAGACATCACTTATGATGGTCTCTTACAGAGTATCATCTCTCTATTCCCTGGACTAAATGAATCCAGTGCTCCTACACTGAGGCTCTTCTATAGAGACACTGATGGGGACATTATCACCCTCTCCTCTGATGAAGAGGTGACCACAGCTATAGCTGAGATACCCTCGGGCGGAGTCTGGAGGTTGACGGCTCGTTTGGTGGAACCCCCTCCCAGTTCTTCCTCAGGAGGTCGAAATAAGACACACCCACTTTTAGATCTATTTGAAGCACTAGTGAATCCACTTCAGAGCGTACTTGATAAAGAAGAGACAGACAAGAAAGAAGGAGAAGAGGAGACTGAACAAGAGGAAACAACAACTGGAGGAGAAGGAGCCACACCCAATGAAAAAGGAGTCACTGCTGAAGGGAGTGAGACAGTAAAGGAAGATGAAACTAAAGAAGAGAAAGTCAAAGCAAAGCCCAAGACAGGCAGTGGTCCAGTCTGGACTACCTATGAGATAAGAATGGGTCCATCTCACAATAATTACTGTCATTATCACAGACGCTTACTGAGGCCACCACCATCACTCTTTAGTCTAAACTTATTTTAGACTAAAATAATATTAAAACTTGTTTCAAACTTGTATCATTATCATGTACTGTTGATAACATTTTACATGTATTAATAGTTACTAGTAATTATTGTTGTTGTCGTGCTTAAAGTATTATTATTAATAATATTTTTAACCTAATTTATCAAATTTGTGTCTCCAATGGAATATTTATTGCTATGCATCAGGCTATTAGCAAAATACATACATGTATATGTACTGTATTTGAATACCATTTACTGAGGGATAGTCTACCTAACTACTTTACATCTACATGTACATCTACATGTACATGTACATGTATCATCAATACATTTAGTATTAATACTGTTTCATTGTGTGTACATGTACCACAAGTCAGTGCATGACTTACAGTATAGGTATTCCTCATCAGTGTATGTTGGAATGGGAAGTTTCTTTAGTAGTCACATACAAACGATACAACACCAGCTCATCCTAAATTAACAATTAGCACTTAATACTGTACAGTGGAAAATTTTGGAGGGAGCTAAATTGCTAAAATTGAAAATTTTTTGCGAAAATGTGGCCACATGTAGTTGAGCACATGCATAAGGGCTCAAAATGGCAGATTTTTATTTTGGCAAATGGCTATCAAAGCGCCTAATTTGCCAAATTAAACTACCTCCAAAATTTTGCACTACATGATAGCTTAATATCTAGAATGAAAAATTTATCGTTAAACTATTTTAGAAATATCAAATATTTGTCCTACTACAAAGTACATGTACATGCACATTGCAAGTTTGAATTCTCTATGTACTGTATATTGGGCATGAATGAGCCTTACAATAACAGCAATGGTTTGGTTTAGTTGGTGTGTCTTGCAAGGCTCAATACCACTATACATGCAAATCCCAACAAATATTTTTACAATAAAAATTTGAGGTCACAAAATAAACTAACTATACTGAACTTGTAGAATAACATTAAACGACTTACTTAAGTTTGTGAACAACATCCATTTCCAAGGTCAAACGTGCTTCCTTCTGAGTCTTGCCTTTGGGTGCCTGTACCCTGAACCACTGTCAGTTGGTATCAGTAATGTTCTAAAATTAAAAAAATTAATTAATGTGACAAACATAAGGATTTATTCCGAAATAAAAGATATGCTACTGATAATAACAATAGTAGGGACTAGTACAGTACATAATATTTTGGCCACAAATCCCACCTGCCACCATTTGGTTTAATATTAACACACTTTACTGAGCCAAAGTTAACTCCTAATAGCTTCAAACTCAGCTAATTACACATATATACATGTAATTCTCCACTTATAGTAATATTAATAGTACAGTCATGCCACGTGAAGTGTTGATTATTCGTTGCACTTTTAGTAGGTCCTATACACTCCATCCTTTTTTATGTAAATGACAAAATAAGCACTGAGCAACAGGATATTCATATACTAGCTCTTGGCAATATATTTGATTATGCATATACTATTATCCATGTATAGTCATCTAACACATAATAACAAATACATTCTCATACTATGCAAGTTCAACATGCTTCGATAATTATTAGACAATGCTCTATTGTAAGCAGTCATGAGGGCATGCATTCATTTACTATACTGTACGTGTATGTTATGCAAACAATACTATCAATCTCATGCATGCTGTATGGTCATGAGCATTATTAGACAATGCTCTATTGTGAGCAGTCATGAAGGCATTTTTGAATGTACATGTACCAAACACAAAGCAAACAAATAATGCAGTAGCTTTACAATGGCTATAACAAGCAATACACACATACACCAAAAAGGGACAAATTTATACTACATCAAAACAAATATTGTGGTATCATATAAGATACATAGTACCTAATAAGGTTTTCTTCCTGACTATATCTCCCATGTGTGATCAGTCCTGTGTGCTCAATATTAGCAAGAACAACATAACTCTCTGAGTATACCTACAATTATAGAAATAACATATTCCCTTCTCTCTAGCTTTAAGAGGCTAATCTATACCTGCCAATTGCCAACTTGAGCTGGTGCAGTAAGACAGTTCATAATCTGCTAGGATTATTTACAATTTATGGATGACT